CTTTCTCTCCCCCCACCCCCCCCCCCAAAACCACCACTGCTTTTTCCTAACTGGAGCAGCACAGTGAGAATATTTTGGTAATTATTAGGCAATCCTCAGTTTTGTCTTCTGCTTCAGTTTCATTGAAACCTCTTCCCTGAAACTTTTAAAAAAAGATTTGTGTATTTTATGTATATGGGTTTTTGTCTGCCTGTACATCTGTACACCAAGGGTGTCGGATCCCTTGGTCTTAAGAGTCATGTGAACCACCATACGGGTGCTGGGAATTGAACTCAGGACTTCTGGAAAAACAGCCAGTGCTCTTAACTGCTGAGCCGTCTCCACAGAGCATCCATCCCTCCTCCCTTTAAAGGACTTATGACAGATTTTAAAATCAGTATATACTTGTTTAATTACTAACTAGACCAAATCGGACTTCTGGAGCCAATGAAGCAAACTTCTGATTATTGCTTGGTTTGCCAGGGCTTCATGACAAAAGGCCACAGGCTGGGTGGCTTAAGTAGCCAGGGGTTTTTTATTTTGTTTTGTTTGTTTTCTTTCCAGTTCTGGGACAAGTTGGAGATTAATGCCAGGATTCCTTCTTGGGTGTGGCTGTCTGTCTTCATGTGGCCTTTAGTGCATATACACTGAGTCAGCAGTCCAATGGGATCGGTCCTTGGGTTAGCGTTTTTGTTTTTTGTTTTTTTTCCTGAGACAGGGTTTCTCTGTGTAGCCCTGGCTGTCCTGGAACTCAATCTGTAGACCAGGCTGGCCTCGAACTCAGAAATCCGCCTGCCTCTGCCTCCCAAGTGCTGGGATTAAAGCCGTGTGCCACCACCGCCCGGCTTTTATCTGAATTTCTAACCCTTGGAAAAGGAATGACAGTAGATGTTCCAAAAGATTGAAAAACAAAGTAATCAGTGCAACACATCATCCAAACCTAACAACCCAACCTGATGGCATTTATCTTACTACATATGAAGTCTCGTGTAAGCAATTTAAAGAAATGACAAAGTTACTTCTCTTTTAGACTTCTTTAAACTACGTCAAAACCTTCCCCTCACAATAATGACTGAATTCATTGTTCATTATTAATGACTGAATCATGTTGCCCAAAAGTTCACTAACAATTAAAAGAAAAAAAATGTAAGCATAAGGTTCTAATGTATTTTTATTGGTTAGAATTGTACACATTTGTATTTCATCATACATGTAATACTCGGTAACTTTCAAACATGCAACCAAAATAACTTACTAACAAATTCTGAGCACAGAGTAGTTCTATTTTTTTATATACCGATAAAAAAAAGCGTGAGATTATTTTGAAAAAATAAAATTCGTGTCATTATTTTACAATTTGGAAGTCTGAATAATCCAAGTTTGAGATGACTTTCTCATTGTTGAAGTTTGCTCTGTCGATGTGCGATTTGGGACTTCCTCTTGTCTCCAGCCACTCCTGCATGAAGCGTACCTTGGAGACTGGGCCTTGCAGCTGGCCTTGCACCGTGCCCCGGTTGGTGTTCTGAACCCAGCCCACCAAACCTAGCTTTTTACCCTCAGCCTAAGGGAAAGAGAGAAAGAGAGCTACAGTGAGACTGCACAGAACACAGTGAGATGAGAATCTCTGACCAGCATCCTGGCCTGGTATCAAACCACTGAAACTAATTTGACATTGTCCAGAAAAATCAAAACAGACACCAAGAGGATCTCATGGCTGATGTTTTAGCCACTTGATTCCATTTCCCATTTTTATTCTATAAAACTCAGCATTTGAACTCTGCAGCATTTTCCATTGCATAGTACCTGTGGTTAAGCACTAGAGTGAGCCCCCAAAAGATGCCTTCCGAATGATTTACTAATGCTTACAGCTTGCTCATTTCTTTTCTTTCTTTGAGACAGTCTCATTATGTAGCTTTGGCTGGCCTAGATAGAACTCATCATGTAGACCAGGTTAGCCTTGATCTTCTGCCATCATCCTGCCTCTGCCTTCTGAGTGCTGGGATTGAGAGTGCACCATCAGGCCTAGCCAAATAAAATGAGGTGGGAAAGACCTGGAGTTTTAGTTTAGTTTTACAGTACTGAGGATTCACCTAGGGCCTCGCACATGTTACTGAGGCAGGCACTCTAGCTCGAAACTATACCCACAACCCTCATTTTCTCTTTTCCTAATCAGCAATCTAGCGGGTGTATTAAACAGAAAAAGCTTCGAGTTACTTGACCTTCCCCTTTGCCTTTAGCGAGGACCACACCTAAACAAATCCAGATGAAGGGATCCGTTGTATCTTTAAAGATCATTACACAGTATTTCACAATTTCCTGGGCAACACAATCACTGTTTTTACTGTGGAGGAACTCTAACCCAACATGTTTACATTGCACCCAAAGCCCACTTTCTGTCACACTCGGTGGAGAAGGGAAGCAGCTGGGAGGCCTCTGGATGCTCAGGGTTCACAATACTCTACGGCTATCAGGTGTCCACTGGCCTTTCTTGTTAGATCTTGGGCCTGCCGTGGAAAACACGGGCTGCTCTAAGAGACCAGATCAGCAGCCTGGAGAAATCAGGCCATGTCCCTGCTGCAGCTCTCTCTGCTGTGTTACAGTCTCATAACTCACAGCCCCTAATATACGGTCCTATCCAGTACCTGGTTCCTCAATGTTCTTTATCCTGTAGGCGATATCCTATAGGCTATCCTAAACTAAATCGCTAAAAATAACTGACAAACTCTAATATTGAAAGAACATAAAAGTCAGATATTTCCCTTTGTTTGAGGGCTTTCCTTGAAGGCTCTCTCTTGTGAGCATTCCCTTTACCCCTATCATGCCTGTGGTAGGTACCTCTCTTCCCCTTTTAAAAAAATAAAGTATTTTTACTATTGTGTTGGTTTGGATATACTTGGCCTAAGGGAGTGACACTATTAGGAGGTGTGGCCTTGTTGGAGGAGGTGTAGCCAAGTTGGAGGAAGTGTGTCACTGTGGAGGTGGGGCTTTGAGGTAATATATAATATGCTCAAGTTCTGCCCAGTATGAGACATGATAGTCTCCTACTGCCTTTGATTGTAAATTTAGAACTGTTTCTTGTCCAGCACCATGTCTACTTGGATGCTGCCATGCTTCCTGCCATGATGATAATAGACTGAACCTCTGAAACTGTAAGCTAGTTCCAATTAAAAGTTGTCCTTTGTAACAATTGTCTTGGTCGTGGTGTCTCTTCACAGTAATGAAACTCTAACTAAGACAAAGGTGTGCTATGTGACTGTGTGAGTGCTGGTACCTATGGAGTCCAGCAGAGGGCAGTGCTAGGTGCCCTGGAGCTAGAATTAGAATTGGTTATGAGCCATATGTGTTCCGGGAACTAAACTTGGGTCCTTTGGAAGAACAGTATGGGCTGCTGAGCTGTCTACACAGGCTCCTAAGTTAACTTTCTTAATGATGCTCCTCCTTTTTAATTACACTTACACTTATAGGGGTGGGGCACACATTCCATAGCAAAGTATGGGGGTCAGAGGACTGCATGCAGAAGTCTGTTCCTTCCTTCTGCCATGTGGGTCCTGGAGATTGAGCCCAGTCCACCAGTCTTGGTGGCAAGTGCCTTTATCCACTGAACCACTTTCTCATTCCTCTCTGAGTTTTCAACGAAAGCCTTTAAGCCCTGCCACATTGTCTGATCTGAGGTATTAATGCTCTCCTACCTCAAGGCCTCCCACAGACCCCAAGGTCACAGAATTCTCCCAATAAAGCTCATCTCTGAAGGAGACTTTCATGCCAGCCACCTTTCCAAACCTTCTCCTAGTGTTTCGTTTCTCTCATCTGATAAGTAATCACAGCATCTTTAAAGTTGAACATGTGGGGGCTGGAGAGATGGCTCAGTGGTTAAGAACACTGGTTGCTCTTCCAGATGACCTGAGTTCAATTCCCAGCATCCACATGACAGCTCACAACCATTTGTAACTCCCATTCCAGGAGATCTGACACCCTCATACACACATAATGGCAGACAAAACACCAATGAACAAAAAATAAGGAAAAGAATGTAAAACAATAGAGCTGTACATGCTCATGAAGAGCAGCTAGCTGCCGTGTGGACTTTTCCTCCTCAGTGTTCATTATTAAGCCGTGGCAGAAGCGAGCACTTAGGAAAGACAGTGATGTACTGGAGCTAGTTTTATTGCTACATAAATTATAACTAAGATATTATATCATTATCTGTAATAGAAGCAGTTGGATTACAAAAGAGTATGGGAGCTAACATGATTGCATGTGGAATGCCAGCCTGACCTGGCAAATGTGGGAAATTGCTGGAGTATATGCCAAGGAGAGCATTATGCACACACACAAAATAATGTTTTGAGGAGGAACTGGATGGAGCGTCCATCAAAGCAGTTATACTCAAAGCAGACGTGTTTGCATAATGAACAAAAATATTTCCATCAAATCATAGTCTCAGGGATGGGTGCTAAGGCATGAAGAAAAGCAGGATCTACCTACAGTGCGTATTGTTGAGTGCCAAGGGAGAGACATAAAGGAAGACTGGAGTGCGTTCTGAGGATGGCATCCCATCCAGCCAACTGTTAACTGCACCCTTGTGCTTCAACATAAGCCGCGGCGCTGGCAGCCTCCAGCTGCTAAATCACCATAGATGGCAAGCAGCTATCAGCATGACTGTGCAGTTCTGAGCAGGGGGTTATATCAGTCAAATAAATCTCTAATTTGAAATGTGATTGGCCTCGATTCCTATGAACAAGACACTCCAAATTCTGACCCACTGGAGAATGGAAATTTCCAACAGGTTTTATTTGTGTGCTAAGTTCTACTCGTTTTTAAATGATATCGTAATACTGCTTGCTGATTGACATTTGAGTATCCAAGTGCTGGAGAACTCTGTCCTCCGGGCTTAATAGCATAGCAGTTGTGATTACTGGAGAAGCCCCTCATGTTAGACCCAACAGCATTGAATCCTTGGGGGGGGGGGTGGTCACAAAGCAGTACCTAGGGGGCTCTCAGCGCAGCTCACTAGCTGGCATAAAAGGCAACTCCACCCTGTCCCTCCCTGGCATTATATACGTGCGATGGTTAAGGATGGGGGTGGCTGGGAATTGCATACTGTTGTCGCCTGTAAGTTGCTTGTGTTTAATCAAAATTAAAACTCTTTGGTTTACCAAGCCACCCTGGGGTGGAATCATTTGTTTGGTCTGTTCTTGGTACCCTGTCTAGGGTGAGCAGACATTTATTCATGTCTCCCCAGGAGAAATGAACAAAACAATGAGTAAAGTGAAATTCCAATAGGCTTCTTTGAAAGGAAATTCCTATATGCTCACACCATATCATAAACCATTTTCCATGGCCCGGCAAGATGGCACAGCAGCAAGTGTTACTTGCACCAAGTCTGATGACCAGAGTTTGATCCCCAGGACACACACAGTAGAAGGAGAGAAGTGACTTTCACAAGTTGTCCTCTGATGTCCACATGGATGTATACACACATACAGAGGGAAGGAGGGAGGGAGGGAGGGAGGGAGAGAGAGAGAGAGAGCGCGAGCCAATAAAAACATTCCTGCTTATACACTCCCCCAATATATATACATATAATTTTATATATAAATGTTTTATTTTCATTTTTTGCTTTTGAAGTCAGGCCTCACTACTGCACCCAGGCTGTATTTTCAGTTTCTGCTTTTGAAGTCAGGCCTCACTACTGCACCCAGGCTGGTCTCGAGCTCATTTTAGTGCCCATACTCGACTCCTCCAGCCTGCAAGCATGTGCACCGCCGTGCCAAACCTTCTAAGAACAATTTAAGAAGTCTAATCACCAGTTCTTGTTTTCAACCTAAAAAGAAAGTTTCTCAAATGAATAACTAGAACTCTGCTTTAGTACGCAGGGAAAGAACCGGCTGACAGGATAGCCCAGCAGCAGAAGAACCTGCATGGAGACTGATGGCTGAGGACAGACGATTCCCCCAAATCTGTGGAAAGGGGGAACTGACCAGGACAGAAGGTACTGCAGACAGAAGTGTGCGCGTGCGCTGCGGGGCAGTTGAGGGAACAAATCCTGCAGACGCTGGCGCTGCTCAGGCCTCTGGAGTCTGGTCCTCTAGGAACTACATAGCCTCCCAGCAAAGCAGAGTCACATGAGCTAAGGAGAGGCATCAGGCAGAGCCTTGAATGCTTTCCCCCCTGTCCCCAAATGCTAAACAAAAAAAAGGCAACCCCTGCTCCCCCAAAAAACTCCCCAAAACTTAAATGATTAAAACACAAAAAATCTTAGGGAAAAAACATAGGAATGACTCTTCATGACCTTAAGTCACTAAAAGGATAAATCACAACACTACAAGTGCAGCCTCCCTTCCCCCTCCCCCCAAAAAAGCAAAATTGGGAGTTCAAAAGTAAGTCCCAATGGGCATTGTGGCTCATGTCTGTAATCCCAGTATTTGGTAGGAATACCATGAGTTTAAAGCCAGCCTAGGCTGTACAGTGAAACTTTCTCAAAACAAACAAACAGAAAATCTTTGATGCTTGAAAGAACACTATCAAAAAATAGGAATTCTCCAAAATGGAAGAAATGTTGGCATTGAACATTCGCTAAGAGACTTAGTATCCAGGCAGAGGCTGGAGAGATGCTCAGTGGTGAAGAACACTTGCTCTTGCGGAGGACCGGGGTTCATTCCCAGAACTCACACTAAGTGGCTCACAAGAGCCTGGAACCCCAGCTCCAGGGGATGTTCACCCTCTCCTGGCCTCTGTAGGCATCTACACATACTCTCTGTACTCCTGCAGATGTACATATATACATAAGATTTTAAAAAGAGAAAGAGTGCTGGGCATGGTAGCATACACCTTTAAACCCAGCACTCAGGAGAAAAAAGCATGTGGATATCTCTTAGGTTCCTGGCCAGCCAGGGCTACAGCGTAAGACCTTATCTCAAACTCAAAAGGGGAAATGGTAAGAGACAGAGACCTAGTATCTGGAGTAGATAAAGAAGTGTTAATATACACATTCAAAAAGAAAAGAAAAATAACTCAATTTATGGTCCAAGGATTTGAATAGAAAGTTCTCCAAACATATAATCTCTAATAAGCACGTAAAGACACCCACCATTATTCATTAGGAAAAGGCAAATCAAAACCACGCTGGGACTGTACAGCATGTTATTCAGCCTTAAAAAGGGAAGGAAGTTCTTACTCAGGACATGTGGATGAATCTTAGGGACAGGATGCTAGTGAAGTAAGACACTCACAAAAGGACAAATACTATGACTCTACCCATGAACTAGCTAGAGCGGTCAAATTTATAGAGATCCAGCAAGATGGCAGGTGGCTTAGGGCGCTGGCCACCAAGCCCGATGACCTGAGTTTGATCCCTGGAATCTACATGGTAGAAGGGGAGAGAACTGACTCCTGTAAGTGGTTCTCTGACCTCCATATGCATATCCATACATGGACAGCGGGGTCATGACTACCAGGGGCTGGTGGAGGGGAAGACAGGAGCTGGTGGTTAAGTGGGTAGTGATAAAGAAAAAAGTGTGTGGGGAGGGGTGTGGGGGGGTGCAGGGAGATAGGTTCTTCAAATGTTCCTTGGTGATAGGACAAGAAAGTATGAATGTACTTGAGGTTACTAATTGTGTGTTTTTAAATGATTAAATGGTAAGGTTTTCAGTACATATATTCTATCATAATTTAAGAAAAATGCATTACTCCAGATAATCTGCAATATTCAGTTCTCTCTCTGTTATTGATTTGTACTTTTCTTTTCTTGTGACTGAAGACCATTACTTGTATGACTTGAGTTGTTTTAAATACTTTGATACTTGAACTAAAACAATGAAAATTCTCAAGGAGATATACTGTCACATCCCTCAGAATGGCTGTAGTGAGCAGAAAGGCAACTCTGCTGAAGGCAGAAGGGAAACTAAGGTTGCCCTTGTGCACTGGAGAGACGAGTGATGGGAAACAGAGGTAGAGGCCAAGTTTGTTGTTCACTGGTAGAGTGCTTGCTTAGCATGCAAACATCCTTGGGGTTATGTCCCATGGTGAGAAAAGAAATTGAGGTGTGAAGAAGTTGAGGAATAAGCTTGTCGTAAGTATGATGGGTGATTACGTAACTTACTCTGTGATCGGTCCACCTATCGCCACCTCTCTATCTTGATGGCAGCTTTCCTATAAAAGTGACTTAGCTTGGTGACAGTACAACAGGGTGCGCTAGCGGTATTCTCCTTCAGAAGAGTGTCCAGGTGCTCCCTTCCCACTCTCTCAGGTCCCATTTGTCAGAACCAGGCCTCGTGTCCATCACTTAGTGATGCGCCCCGACACTTAAGCCTATAGGCCACATACCTGAGTGTACTTGCGGAAAAACACCCCTTGAACCTTCCCAAAAATTTCGTAATCCACTGAGACCAAGGTGTCCCCTTCTGCCATGCTCAAACCTGTCAGAGACAGCAAGGTAAGACATCATCCTAAGAAAGGGCTGCACCCATACCCCAACACCACGGGGGCCTCTCCCGAACCTCAGGGTCCCGGAACTGCAAGGAGTAAGTGGGTGGGTGGGTGTAAACGTAAGCCCCTGGTTGGGGGGGCCTTCACCTGCTCACCCCGCTACCCTTGCAGCCTTGAAGCCGCCATCCATCCTATCCCCATGCGGCCCGCAATCCCCTCCACTGACACTTGGATGATCCGAGCAGCGGACACTCGAGTTGCCGGGACTTCCCCACTAGCGGCAGGACAGCCCCGAAGACCTTCAGATCAACCACCCGCGCCGCGCTAACCGCCGCTTCCGGAAGTTTAGAGCGCGGCTTCTCCAACGCTGCCCCGCACGCCAATCACCGCCATCTAACCAATCAGAGGTGGCTTCTCGGCCAAGAGCCCGCCTGAGGGTGGGGCTTCAGGACAACTAGGTCACACTGTGGAAGGAGCCTGGGATTGATTTTTTAAGCTGAGAGTCCTGTTTTGCATACCTGTACCCCACTTCCGGCACTAAGCATACCACCTCTTGTCATTTTCCCATGCATATAGAAAGGCATAGATAAAACACTTAATATGTTCATTCATAAACTAAGCACCGACATGACTGCCTACTGGTTGCCTAGGGCTGTTAGCAGTCAGTGACTGTAATAGAAGAATCTGGCCTGCCTATTTTTTTTTCCTGTTTCAATTCTCTTCCAATTCTGGGTCATGCATAATTTTGACTTAGTAGCAAGGGACAATAAATGCACACGACATCACGGTGAAATCATTCTTTCTGGGGTTTTGGAAGCTGCTACCCAGAGTCTACCTTACTAAGATTATGCTTAAAATTGATAAACAAATAATAAAGCACGGACAAGTCATTCATGGCTCAGGAATCTCAATAGAATCAACAAATCTGAGTAAAATAACCAAGTTGCATGCATTTGCTTTTAGAAAAAGAGAATTACTGAGGGATTTGTGGGTGAGGGTTGCTAAAATAAGACGATTTATATGCATTGGAATTCAGCTACTTTTAGGATCAAGAATATGAAGCAAATTGTGTGTAGCGTTTATTGTTCCTTCTTGGATTGCTTGTCTATATCATATTATTTCATAACACCAGGGCCCCATGTGTTAATATGTCAGGCTGGCAGACTTGGCAAGATGAGATGGTTTGCCGTGGTAGCTATGGAAATCTATCATTACACTAGCTTTCTGTTCCTAAGTCATAAAGCCTCCCTACTGGGAGGAGGAGGAGGAGGAGGAGGAGGAGGAGGAGGAGGAGGAGGGGGAGGAGGAGGAGGAGGAGGAGGGCTGAACAGTGTCCTTGGCAATATTTGAAAACAACACTAAACATTGTGTTTGACTGATGTAATTTCTTTAAAATTCAATTAAAGTAGATTCCCCTATAGATTCCAAACCTATTGAGTAGTGAAATGGATGGAGCACCATATGGTGTACGAGAGGGATGCTGTACAACCGTTGCCCTCAAAGAGTTCTTTAGCGTAGTTGTGCATGCACGCACAGGATGTCAAGATCGTGTGGAACGCGGTCATTCATGTCATTAACTCTGAGAGCTCGCCAGGAACAAGCCCGGCTTTATAACAGGGATAGAAAGTGTTATGAAGAAGCAAGGAGATTAATTCTAACAGGAAAGACTGACAAAGAGCTTGTAGAGAAGACAGCATTTTTCCAAAGTTACAGAATCAAAACCAGAAAGTGATGAAGCCAGGATTTAGTTTCAGGGAGCCAGTCCAAAGTCCACTCCTAAGAATACTTTCACTCTCCAGTTTGTGGGAGAGAGAGTACCAAGAGGCAAGAAGGCAAAAATAGCTGTCATGAAACCAGGGACTCTCAAACACCATCTGCGCATTAGGACCTCAGGGGAACCTTTTGAATACATGCCCACATTTTATTCCCAAGATACTGCTTCCATGCACAGCTATGGCTGAGACCTGATGAGGCTGACTCAATTTATTAAGGAGAGGCAGAACTGTAGAGATATCTTCCACCTAATGTGGGAGATAGAAAATGGTTAAGTCACAGATCTCAGCTCCTCAGGAAGTCAGTAGGGAAGAGAAGGATTTAGTAGTTGGTGTTGAGGTTTGATCTGTTGCCATGTATTGTAATTTTTTTTTTTTTCCGAGACAGGGTTTCTCTGTGTAGCCCTGGCTGTCCTGGAACTCACTCTGTAGACCAGGCTGGCCTCGAACTCAGAAATCCACCTGCCTCTGCCTTCCAAGAGCTGGGATCAAAGGCGTGCGCCACCACCGCCCGGCAGTATTGTAATGTTTAATACTGGCCCCCAAGGCCTGGTTGCCTCTAGGGGTGAGGAGATCCCCACTACACCAAGTGATGCTATGTAACCTCATTCCTTAATTTAAAACGATTGGTTGAATAAAGATGCATATAGCCTATAGCTGGGCAGAAGAGAGGTGGTGGAACTTCAGTTGCCGGGCTTGAAGTCTAGAAGAGGAGAGAGGTGAAGAGAGGAGAAGACACCATGGTGAATCCTGAGAACATGGCCATGCAGCCAGCCAGTCAGAGTAGGAGTGGCCCAGGAGGAACAGGACAAGTTATAACTCAGGGTTATTGACGAGGAAGTAGACAAAATAACGGAGAGGGCTGATACCTGCCCAGCTCTAGTGTTTTTAAGGCTAATTAGAAATATAAAGGTTTTGTATCTTTTATTTGGGAACTGAATGATCAAAGGTGGGATAGAAACCCCCAAATAATATTAACCACCACAGTTAGCTCAACTTAATCATTTTACAATGTATACGTGTATCAAAACAACACACTTCATACTGATTCATATATATATATATATATATATATTTATATATTGTGTATCTTCCCCCCCTTCTAAGTCTTTATTTTTTTTTTAACCTGCATTTTTTAAATTGGCTTATAAAGCAGTAGGTTTCCATATGGCTTTTTACACAGCATTTTCATTTTGGTGAATCCTCCCTAACTTCCTCTGCCTTTCTTGTGTATCTTCTTGTTCGTGTGTGTGTGTGTGTGTGTGTGTGTGTGTGTGTGTACATATGGAGGCCAGAGAACAGTGTGGAGTGTCATTCTCCAGATACAACCCATTTTCTTTCTTTCTTTCTTTCTTTCTTTCTTTCTTTCTTTCTTTCTTTCTGTTTTTTGTTTTTTTGTTTTTTTGTTTTTTTTGTTTTTCGAGACAGGGTTTCTCTGTGTAGCCCTGGCTGTCCTGGAACTCAGTCTGTAGACCAGGCTGGCTTCGAACTCAGAAATCCGTCTGCCTCTGCCTCCCAAGTGCTGGAATTAAAGGCGTGCACCACCACCCCCCGGCTCCATTTTCTCTTTCAACAGGTTCTCTTACTGTCCTGGAACTTGCTGTGTAGGCCGACGGGCTAGGGAATCCAGGGAGTCACCTATTCTTTCGTTAGCAGAAGTAGGATTACAAATATGTAAAAAGTTCCTGTCTTGAAAAACAAAAAACAAAACAAAACAAAAATCTGTAAAAAGTCCACCAAACTGGGCTTTTGTGATTCAGGTCTTCATGTTTGCAGGACTGAGCTAGTTCCACACTTTGTAAATATGTTTCATTCTTGCCGGGCAGTGGTGGCGCACGCCTTTGATCCCAGCACTTGGGAGGCAGAGGCAGGCGGATTTTTGAGTTCGAGGCCAGCCTGGTCTACAGAGTGAGTTCCAGGACAGCCAGGGCTACACAGAGAAACCCTGTCTTGAAAAACCAAAATATATATATATTTCATTCTTGAGCAGCTGCTGTGCTAATCTCAGTATCAACTCCTTTCTAGTATATGTGTTGCCAAAGTACTACTTACACTTTTTTATTTGTGATCCCTTTCTCTCCCTCTCCTGCTTCCCCGTGTGTGTGTGTGTGTGTGTGTGTGTGTGTGTGTGTTGATTGTTGTTGTTATTGCTTGGTAATGGAATGTAGGTTCTTGTGCATTCTAGGTATACATTCTACCACTGGTTGATAAGCCTAAGTCCTGCTAATATCTCAACAAAGCTGGGAAAGAAGTTTTTAGAATCAACATCTGGACAACAGCAAGAAGGATGGATTTGGGGAGCAGAGGCTGATGGTGAGGAGGGTAAAGCCACTCCAGTGATAAACACAGGCAGAACGAGAGAGGATGCCACTTACTTTGAGAAAAAGCAGCAGATGTAGACCCAATAGAATCTGCAGGTCATTTGGAAGAGATGGCAAAGCAAGGAGGTAATGGGAGGTTTTGAGGGCAAGAGGGCATGAACCAGGGAAACAGCAGACAGAGAACACAGAGATGATCTGTGTCTGTCACACTGAGTTTGGGGCTCCTGAGGAACTGTCATGAGGAGGTGTCAGATGGGTAGTTGGAGAGAGACTATTGCTAAGCAGGGCAAATTTTAGACATGAGTGGACCCTCAAATTTCAGATCTAATAGAAGTTGTAAGGAAGAGACTGCTTAGAACTGCACATACCTCAAAAATAGGAGTGCTCAGGGATTATCTAAATGCAGAAGGCCACAAGGGAATAAGTATATTCCGATATACTTACTGCATAAATGCAAGAAGGTATAAATGCCAGAAACCTTAAATACATGGAACAAGACTGAGAAAAAGAAACCAAGAGGTCACAGGAGTAGTGAGAAGTGAGTCTTAAGGGAGTGAATGATCAATATTGTTGAGTGAATAGGCTCCAGCAATAGAAGCTCGACAGAGAAGGACACTAGTAGCTGTGTAGTTAACAAGAGAATGCAAAAGCCAGACCACAGGGGCCTGGACAAGGAGGAAAGACAAAGGAAAAGGTGTGTGCATGTGTAGAGTTTGTTATCAGGTGAGGTGTGCTGGCATGACATCTCTAATTCCAGCTCTTTGGAGGCAGAGGCAAGTGGATTGCTTTGAGTTCAAGGCTAACCTGGAATACATAGCACTCTCCAGACCAACCAAGGCTACATTTTGAGACCTTGTCTCAAACAATACAAAACAAAACAAAACAAAACAAAACAAACACAAACACAAACAAAATAGTCAACCAAACCAAAAGAGAGAGAGATAGAGATATGGATGGGGAGAAAGGAGGGGGGAGGGAGAGGAGAGAGGGAAGGAGAGGGGAGGAGAGGGGAGGGGGAAGGAGAGGGGAAAGGGGAGGAGAGGGGAGAGGGAGAGAAAGAAAAAGAAATTGAGGTGTCCTGTTAGGTAGCTCTCAGTTGCCATGACTTCAGGTCTAGGGGCTCCATTGCCATCTTCTGGCCTTCCCAGGCGCAACTGCACACACACAGGGCATATATTCCTCTCT